AAGGCAAGGGATTGAATTAAGGTGTATTAAATTATTAGGGCATTTATGGGAAGATTATAAATTATATAACTCTGATCTTTGATACAAACCATTTAGCAGCAAAGTAGAATGATTCAGTAACAGGACGTATCTGCTGTTTCTAGGAGTACTTCATGATGCTCCTTATATGCATATATTGCACCTGATTTTGATGTTGGCATGCTTTATGCTGCTTGAACCAAAACATTGTCAAGAAATGTTAATATGGTGGGGCACGGGAGCTCACATCTATAATCCTAGCACTCTGGGAGGCTGAGATGGGAGAATCCTTTAAGCTCAGGAGTTCCAGACCAGTCTGAGTAAGAGTGAGACCCTGTCTCTACTAAAAGTAGACAATAGGGCTAGGATCACACCTGTAATCCCAGCATGCACTCTGGGAAGCTGAGGTGGGCAGATTGCTTGAGCTCAGGAGTTTGAGACTGGCCTGAGCAAGAGTGAGACCTCATCTCTAAAAAATGGCTAGGTGTTGTGGCGGGCGCCTGTAGTCCCAGCTACTTGGGAGGCTCAGGAGTTCCAGATCAGTCTGAGTAAGAATTCACTGAGGCAAGTGAATTGCTTTGAGCCCAGGAGTTTAAGGTTGCTGTGTGCTATGACACCTCGGCACTCTATAAAGGGCAACAAAGTAAGACTCTGTCTCAAAAAAAAAAAAAAAAAGAAAAAGACAATAATAAGTTGGGTTTTGTGGTGGGCACCTATAGTCCCACCTACTCAGGAGTCTGATGCAGCAGAATCACTTGAGCTAAGGACTTGGAGGTTGCTGTGAGCTAGACTAATGCCTCAGCACTGTAGCCTGGGCAATAGAGTGAGACTCTTATCTGAAAAAAACAAAAACAATATGATGACCTAGTATATGCTAATATGATTTATGTATTTTCTAGCACGTTCCACCTTCTCTGTTCACGGAACCTAATGAAATATCCCAGTATTTACCAATAAAGGAAGCAGTTTATGAGAAGCTAATATTTCCAGAAAAAATTATTCCTAACCCAGAAGACTCAAAACAAAGTACACCTGTGGATTAGAATGTGATACAACATATGTGCACTGTGGAACTGACCGGACACCTTGGCTATGTGTAGGGGGTATTTTTATGAGAATTAATTGCCTTGTTTATGCCCAGATATCTGTAGCCTTAAAGGAAAAAATAATAAAGGCTTGTCACAGGCAGGTTCCACCTAACTACTGTTCGTAATGTCTGTCTTCAAATTCATATTCCAGAGTTTTATTTTCTGGAGTTAAATTTGGATTTCTAAATTATCACAAAGTGGTATCTCAGCAGTAGTGATGTGTATGTGTCTCATGGGTAGTGAGCACAGTCCACATCCATCATGAAGCACTGTCTTGTAACATGAGAAGGTTAATTTAAATCACCGAATTCCAATGTCTTTTCACTTTCATAGGATTCCTGATCATGCATGTTGATGTACTGGCTTTTCACTTTGGGCTATCTGATGTTTTATGTACTTCTAAAGAGTTGTAGCTTGCTACCCAGGAAATTAATCTCATAGTTTAATGATCCTCACCCACAAAATTAAAAAATATATATTCCCCCTAATTTTAAATTGACTTTGAAATTTAAAGGCAGTTTTAAGCATAGAACCACAATGACAAACACCTAGTTTTTTGGAGAACTTAAGCTATTATATATGGAAACATGAACGTGGTTTGCCGCTGTCAGGGCTATCTTTCCTCCATCTTTAGGTGCTTTTTCTTATGTGTAGTTCTACTTGCACTGGTATTTTAAACTTTCATTTTTCATGCAGCCTCAGAGTGAATAAATCCCTTAAATTTGATACTGGTACTAAAAAGTGTAAAGGGTTTATTACCAATTGTATTTTGCAAATATAATGTCAATTCCTAAAGCCACGAGATTCATTTCTTCTTAAAATACTTAGGGTATAGGTGTGGAGGAGAGGACATAGTTTAAAATGTAAAAGCCAATTTTTCTATTTTAAGATTATTCATTTTTGTAACATTATAGGGATCCAGTAAAATATAACTAGTCTAAGATCTAGGTATACAGAAAATACGTAAAAGTAAATTTCAAATCCATTTGGTTATTGTGGTGATGACTCTTTAAACATTTTTAAATTATTTTCTGCCCTTCCAAATGCTCTTCATAAAGTGGGGAATTATTATAAAGCACCAAATAAGGAATAATTTGAAATGGATTTTTAAAAATCATTTTTTGATGAGCAGGCAGGAAAAATCAACCCTTTTGTTCTAACTTTAAATAACTGTTGTACATAATTCCACTTGATAGATAAATCATTAAATAATACTTAATTGAAAGTATTAGCAATGCTTTCCAGGTATCAGCCTGAATATAAATTTTAGTGAAACAAATACCCTTACATATTCATCATTGCTCAAACTCTGGTATATTGTTGTGAGCCAACAGGCAGATATTTTATTATCTAAATTTGGTCACAAATAATTTTCATATTTGCCTTTGGTATTTGCCTACATCTTTAAAGTATAGGAAATCAGGAATTTGTTACTTTAAGAGAACACATGGTATGTTCACTATATATTAAATATAACTATATTTAATGCTTTCTCTTAGGACAGAAAAGTATATATATACACACATACACACACACGTTGTACTTAGCTTTCTGTTTTATATGTCATGCAGATTTGAACAGAACAGATTCTGTTCATGCAAATTAGAAGAAATGAAAAACTTGTAAGAATATTTATGAGTTGGAATTTCTGGCCAATATCATATTTGTGTGTGTGTGTTCACGCACGCGCACGCACACACGTTTTTTAAAACTTGTTGATTCAGATGTCCTGTCTCTGAGTAGTCCTAGATTGTATGATAATCTTTATTAAAAATTATAGGGAACTAAAAGAATTGACCTCTTTTTTTCCTTTTAGAGGGAGGGAGGCGGGTAGGATGAGTGTGCTTCTTACAATTTTATTAATTCCGTGGAGAATACCAAGAAAATGTGTATATGCCCATTGCTAAATGACATGCGCTGTTTTATATTTATTTGTCCCAAGTGACTTTTTGTAAGAGGAGAATAAACAATAAGCAATTACTGATCTATGTTTTCTCTATTTTATTTCAATTTTACTTAGAGCTTAATTGAAGAAGAATGGTTTGGAATATTCCTTTCTTGTTTGTGCTTTTATGTTTTGAACTTGATCAACACTGTATACAAATTATCCAGGCACATTGTAAATAAAAACCTAACAGGTAGTTCAGAATATAATTCCCCCTTTTACCTTTGGGTCTTGTTCCTCCTCGCTCTCTGTTCCTTAGTATTCTAGGGTTGTTTTAATTAGCTAATACTTTTTGTATGTTGGGTTAATGTTTTCTGTTTTTGAAAATACCCATCACATGTATCATTCTCTTCTTTTAGTAGAGATGGGGTCTCACTCTTGCTCAGCCTAGTTTCTAACTCCTGAGGTCAAGGGATCCTCCTGTTCTACTCTCCCAGAGTGCTAATATTACAAGTGTGAGCCACTGCACCCAGCCACAAATGTTCTTTTTTGTTTTTGTTTTTGTTTGTTTGGTTTTGGCCGGGCTGGGTTTGAATCCGCCACCACCGGCATATGGGGCCTGTGCCCTACTCCTTTGAGCCACAGGCGCCACCCAACCACAAATGTTCTTAATGACATCCAGAATGGTGAATCCTTTTAAGAAAGTTTTCAGTTTACTTTGCCCAGACCCATCAGAGGAGACACTATGACAGGTGTAGCCTCACAAAATGTGTTTCTTAAGTAATAAGACTTGAATGTCAGAATGACTTCTTTATCCACAGGCTGCAGAATGAATGTTGTTAGCAAGCATGAAAACACCTTGAATCTTCTTGTACATCTCCATCAGAGCTTCTGGGTTCATTGTCAATCAACAGTTAAATGTTTTGAAAAGAATCTTTTCTGAGCAGGAGATCTCAACAGTGGACTTAAAATATTCAATAAATCACACTGTAAAGAGATAAACTGTCATCCATGCATTATTCTTCCATTTCTAGAGCAGCAGAGAAGATGTAGCATATGAACCTTATGAAATTAAGGTTCTTAAGGGACCTAAGATTTTCAGAGTGATAAAGGAGCATTGTCTTCCACTTGAAGTCACTAGCTGTATTAGCCCTTAACAAGAGAATTAGCCTGTCCCTTGATGCTTTGAAGCCAGGCATTGAAAGTGGTAGATGGCATATTCTTCTAATATAAGGCTGTTTTATCTACACTGAAAATCTGTTGTTTTATGTAGCCATCTTCATCCATGATCTTAGCTAGATGTGGATAACTTGCTTCTGGCTTCTGTATCAGCACTTGCTGCTTTACGGTTTCCGGTTTTTTTTATTGTTGTTGTTGCAGTTTGGCCTGGGGCTGAGCTTGAACCCGCCACCCTTGGTATACAGGGCCGGTGCCCTACTCATTGAGCCACAGGTGCTGCCCAACTGTTTCCATTTTTTATTAGGAGGTGGCTTCCTAAACCTCATGAATCAAGCTCTGCTACCTTCAAACTTTCCTTCTGAGAGAGCTTCCTCTCTTCTCTCACCATCACAGAACTGCAAAGTTAAGGAGGGCCTTGCTCTAGATTAGGCCTTTAAGGCAGGGGTGTTCAGCATTTTGCCTTCTCTGGGACACATTGATAGAGGAGTTGTCTTGGGCCACATGTTGAACGCACAAACACTAACAAAAGCTGATGAGCAGAAAAGAAAAAAATGGCATACATAATTTTCATAATATTTATCACCACACATAAGCAAAAAAATCCTCACATCATAATCCTAATTATGTAGTGGCCCATTCAGAGAATCTTTTAAAATTGCTGAGCAGGCCCCAAGTTTGCAAGTACTAATATAGAAAATGTACATATCTAAGTAATAAAATGTCCTTTCAAAAATACTATAAAAGTTAAAAAAGTGGGCGAATAAAATTAGGGGGATATTGGACATTGCATCTGAGAAACTAATGCATCAATGTCTGGTTTGATGGAACTAGTTGCAATTTGCAGTCAGTTAAGATGCTCATGAGATATTTTGGTTCTAATTTTACCCTTAATGTGCTTCATTCTTGAAAAAAGTTGCTTTCAGGCTTGGCGCCTGTAGCTCCGCAGCTAGGGCACCAGCCACATAAACCAGAAGTGGTGGGTTCGAACCCAGCCCGGGTCTGCCATGACAACTGCAACCACAAATGGCTGGGCATTGTGGCGGGTGCCTGTAGTTCCCGCTACTTGGGAGGCTGAGGCAGGAGAATGGCTTAAGCCCAAGACCTTGAGATTGCTGTGAGCTGTGACGCTGTGACACTCTACCCAGGGTGACGTAGTAAAACTCTGTCTCAAAAAAAAAA